TTTGTACTGCAAAGACACAATTAAGAGGGAACAAAGGGGTATACAAACATTTGCTTGATTTTAGAAAAATATTTACAATGTTTGTGCTAGACATAATTAAGCCAGATAAGGATATTTATCCTAGAAACAACTAAAATAAAGTGATAATAAAAAAAAAATAAAATAAATAAACTTCAACCATTCAACATCCATTAAGGTAAAATGAAGTAAATAAATTCAGCCAATTGGTTATTTCCATACGGGTGGATTTCTTTAAATAGTAATGAAATCATTGCTAAAAAAAATCCATTGTTATTAAAATAAAAAAGTTGGCTCAGCCTACCAAAATTAGATTTGTAAGTTGCTGGTCATTCCCATAATTAAATCTGTGTCACAAATTTGCAAGAAAAATGGACACTGTGACTAATGCATTTACTTGCTGCACTAGTGCTGTCAGGCTGTGTAAATCATTATGCCTGCTAAAGCAGAGTAGATAAGAATTCCATACATTTTCATTAACCAACTAGGCTTTGTGTATATGTGAGAAGCTAACTTTCATGTTCCCTGCTAGCTTTAGCTTTAAGTCGGAAGACAATGTAAATAAAAACACTAGCCTTGATTTGATTAGCCAAGTGGTTGCTCCAAAAATTATTTGAGTTTTTGAACAATATGAACCAGCTCTGTCCCCTTTGAAAGGTGATCAAACAAAACAAAATCATATATACTTAATTTGGACAAAGGAGATTCATGAAGTGATGGGCTCCTGGAATAGGCTCCTTCCTTCAGACTGACTTACGTAGCCTGGATACATGCTTTATTTCATCCCATAGGTTTCAACAGAGCTAATCCAAACCAGCATCAGGAGAAGTCTCAACCAACACTTTAATTTTTTGGCTGCCTGCCCTTTGCTCTGTTCTCTCAGGAATGCAATGGTCACTAGAGGAGAGTCCTCTGAATCCTCTCTTTTCCTCTTGATTTCCTGTCACCACGGACCTTCAGATCTTGCTTACAGTTCTTTGTTTAGGTGAAGCTGATGGCTGTTCCTTTCACACTTACAGTTCATAACCCCAAGGCACCAAAGAGCATTGACTCACATCACAAGCTGGATACTCTCATGGGTTTCCAAGCCCACTGTCTCAAGCAGAAAGGAGATTAATGAGAGGTAGAAAGAGATTAGACATGACTGTTTCTAGTCTAGTAGTGCAGAGCATTTTGTGAGGACATCCCCTTCTAGACTTTAAGCCCTCTCCTTCTTCCATGCACATGGCATTATATTGCTACTGTAAACTGAGTTTACCTCTCAACCGAGCACGTGTCACCACTTCAGTCCAAGAACAGCCTCAATGACAGGCTATGCTTTGCTGATCTTAAAGGAGCTGAGCCACACAGGCAAACACCATGGAACAACCATCAGCACAGCATGTTTCGCAGTATCCAGCCTATTGCTCTGCGCTTTGGACATTAACAAGCATTATTGTTCTGTTGCAGCACAACTTTTAGAAGCAGAATAGATTTGCTTAGGAAGCACGGTAATGCATGCCATGTTAAGAATCTCAGCAGACCCATACTTAGCATCCCAGACAACTTCTTCAGCCTTTAGGTGCAAAAGTATCTTCTCTGACAAACAGAAGCTGCTACCTCAGTGTTTTCTATCTCAGCAGACCTTAGCATGCATTTGCATGCTTTACAATATCAACCTTGCTAATAACCAACCACCCAGTATTAGTAAAACGCTATCAGATTTTATTAAAACCCCATTAGAAGGAAAAAACTGAAATCACTTATTATGTTTCACAATTATTATAAACCAAACTGTTTAAATGAGAGGAGGAGATAATGATATTAACTACCCAACTCAAAGCAATCCTCTGTGGTATGATTCCAAATATTCTCTTGGCTGAAATTTATGTAAATTGAATTCATCTATTGTTAGTTATTACTAATCTAGCTACATAAAAACACTTTTCTGTAACAGTTAGTTCTTTAAAACACTGTGTTTTAATTAGACCTGGGACATCATTAAACTAAGTGTAAATATGTACAGGATCATTCCATGCATTGTTTTGCCTGCATATTTATACGAATATGGGCTTTGGTGGAGTTTAAAAGGAATTACTTTGTGGTTGGTTGGTAGTTTTTGTACATCTCCTTACCAGTAAAAACAGATCCAGATGCTTAATCTAAGTGCATTTCTGGGCATTTCTACATTTTGCCTATCACAATGTGTTCATTTTCATTTGAATAAGATCATCTTAATATCATTCTAACATTATGATGAGCCTTTCCCTGCAGAGATTTTGTTACACTGTTATTTTAATTTCACTTCTCAAGGACTATATCCTAATCTTAAAAAAAAAAAAAAAAAAAAAAAAAAAAAAAAAAAAAAAAGAAGAGTTAAAAGCGCAGCACATCTTTCAGCCCTTTTAAATCAGCTTGCTTCACACTATCATACACAAGCACTGGCCCACAGGGCATAGTCTGAGAACAGACAACATACTGTCCTCCTAGCTTTGTCAGGGTTACATGCGAGTGCAGCAACCCACCCATGTGCTACACATTGTAAGATGAGGAACACAAGGAAAACTGGAGCCTTGCCAATGGTCAGATCCTTCCAAATTATCTCCAGGACCTAGATATAGTTATGGTCACAAAGGTATATAACTACATCTAAGCCTATCCACAAACAGCGTATCATTAGACACTAATAAGAAAAATGCAGATGTGATTTAGAATCATCATGAATTAAAGATAAAGGAAATAGGATCTCTACCTATAGCCAAGCCCGTAAGTTAGGCACCAATATAAACTTCCAAGAACACCGCCAGGACCAATTATTTTCATATTTTATAGAACAGTTCTGACTTCAAACAACTATACATATGTTTTCAATGCTTCACCAGTTGTTCACGGAAAACTTACAGAGTAAGTGACCATATGCCAGTGACATTCAGGAGCTACTCAATTAAAGGCCATGTAGACCTACAGTGCTGTGAAGCTGGTAAACTCAGGCTACTTACTACAGTCCCTGGCCTACTATCACCCCATTGCATTTTCAGCCATACAGTTCATCCTATCAACTTCATAACTGGAAAAGTTGGTAAGAGCAAAGCTTTCAGTAAACGTATTTATGATTTCTTTTCTGTAGCACATACATACTCCCTACATAATAATGATTTCAAACTAGAATACCACAATAAGTATCTAAGTGTGTGTATATATTTGTAACTTAACAGTGGCTACTTCCTTTATAATTTTATTTTTTAAAAATTTGTAATTAGGAAAAAACAGCTGGTGTGTGGTGTGATTCTAGCTGCTTTTTAATATTTTTGAAAAGTCTTTCCTGAGAATTTTTTAAACAAGAATGTTTACTGCAATGCTGCTCTAAGATGCAAAAAAACTCTGAAGTGAATAAATAGTGAAATGAGGTAATTATATGTAAATGGAACTTTCCAATTATCAGTTCATGGAGCTAAGATAAAAATCAAAATCGGGAGTATTACATGAACACACAAACTAGCTCAGTTTCTTTAACTGAGATTTCTTCAAAGAGCTACAAACAGGTTCTAGAAATTAAAATATGTTTATGTTGCTTTACAAGGAGCCAGCATTGTAGTCAGATGCTCTGGGGCCTAAATTCTTATTTGAAGTCAAAAGACATTCTCCTAATGACAGCTGAACTGAGGCCTTTGGGTATTCAAGGAAACCTCCTGAACTGAAAGCTAGGGACAGCAGAGAAACTGGAGCTCATGCCAAGCAACAAAAGAAAATGCCCCACACATACACAGCCTTAAGGGATGCTCTAACACTGGGATTCCACAGTTTGAGGCAGAAAGTACCTTCTCACTGGAGGAGGACGTACTCCATGACAAAAAGGAACAAGTACTTGGGAATTGGTATTTTTTAAATGTTCATAGTTATTTATTCTCACAAAACTTATATCCACCCTCCTGACTTTAACCTAGTCCCTCAAAAAAGCAGCAGCACAATGTATAACTTCAAAATTCCACACAACTTTCTCTCTTGGAAGTACAGCTTTACATACTCAAACTCTGAAATTACAGCTTTTCATAAAACAAATATGCATAAAGTGAGTTATTTTGTACTTGCAGTTTTAATTTCCTAATTTGAATTCTTTTGTCATTCATTCATTTTATACATCATAGTCCTCTTTTTGGGAACACAAGATTGGAATCACAAACGCACACTTATAAACATGCACAAATGGTAGTGACGAAAACCAAATTCAATTATTAGCTGCCTAAATAAATAAAACAATCACAGTAGCTTGCCTACATATAAAACAATTTGTATTTCATATTCATTAATGTCCCTCTAAACAACATATCAAGAAAAGAAGCCTATTGTTCCTTTCTTCATAAATATATTTGTTTAGTGTTCTTTACAGTTTCTTTCTGAATCTTTGTAGACTATCAGGCCACAAATACTGGTTTTGCTTTTTACAGAAACAGTTATATTTCCAGATGGATTGATTGCTTTCCCATATCCAGCTATTTTAGTGTGGTCCTCAGAGACACTGAGTGGCTTCACTGACAGTGAAATATGCTAAACAAATGACAAGTCACTGAGTAAATTAGCATCTACTCTCTGATCAGCTGGGTCATGTTTTCTTTTCAAAATCCATGGCCTCTTGATAGAAAATAATGAGTATTTGATGGGCCTTATTAGAAAAATCAATATATTGATGCCCATGTCTGAAACATCTGCATAATAATAGATTCTGTTAACCCATTCAGGAGAAAATTAAGATGTGCTTACACATTATTAATTTACCATCAGCAGAGACAATTTATTCATTACTTTTCTAAAGAGTTTAACAAAAAGACAAGGAATTGTAATATCTGTATTTAATGGCAAGGTGACATAAATTGAAAGATGATTCAAATTTTTGCCAGCTAAACAGCACAATTCCACCAACACTAATGTGAAAAATACAAACACACCAATGATACTGTTAAAAATAAGACTATCAAAGCACTTGCTATAAATACTGCATTACTTACCAAAAAACTTCCGAAAGCGGAATTAAATATAGCAGCTGCCTGAAGAGAGAAAAAGATAAATATCACCAATGGTAAAATAGCTATAGTACAAGAACAAAATGTTATTCCCCTGCCCAACAAGCTATTAGATTCTCCAAATACACACATACACAGAGACCATTATGCAGTTAGCCACTGCTTAAAAAATTGCCAGTGGCCTGTAACTTATGAAGACTGATAGGTTCTAGTTTATGCATTCATAAATAATGTGCTGAAATGGACAAAAGCAGGAGGAGAAAATCCTTGCCGGTAGACTTAAGAGGAATATCCACAAGAACTAACAATATTACACAGAAGCTTGGTCTCGCAGCTTTTGCTCTAATTTGCCAGGAACATTTTTACATATTGACCTATTAATTAAAATAATCTGATTTAACTAAAACACTATTTTCATAGAAATTTAACAATTTTTAATGGAATATTATTCAGGCAAGCAAACTAATTTGTTCATCATAATAAAGTGTTGACAAATCAGGAGTTTCTATAGTTTGACCAACTAATTTAAAATAGTAACAACAAAAAAACAACAAAAAACCCCCACAACCCCACACTTCTGAGGCCAAAATGTCTAATCATTACTTTTTACTGCATAGTCTTTTAAAATAATAAATCATTTTGATAATGACTTTAGAAGTGTTTGTGCTTACCTAAAAATCCAGGAATTATAAGGTAGCAGTATTATTTCTTAATATTAACTCATTAAATTCCAGGAAGTTAAAACTGGAGTCTTGAATAGCTTCCCCCAATTACCAAAAAAGAACAGAAACTCTTGTATGGCAGCCAGTCTGATGATGAAAAGCCACACAGCAAAGGTAAGAGGAAAGGGAGGAGGGAAATCTACCATTTACATGAAGATTTAGAGCAGAGTCAAATTAATCACCCTGGACACTTCCAGCCGCAGATTAATAACAAGTGGATGCTAGTGAGTTTAGCAAGTTTGAATAAAGTCCAAAATCAGGGTAGGAGCTGTAGCTGAACCTGCCTTCTGCTCCATAAGAGGATGCAATGAAAATGAATGGGTAATGAGATCCTTGGCTCTAGAGAGCTTAGCTTTCTTATTCAAGTTCATAATTAATTCAAAGCTTTGATAATTTCATTAGATTCCTCCTCTGCTGGCCCTATCAATAAAAGATGGCACTGGACCGCAGCTCCTCAGTGGCCCAAATACAAAAACAAATGCAGACTGGGAAACCTTTGCTGACTTGCTTACTAACAGGGACAATGGCATATGGCACTCCATGTTGCAAAGGGAGCATCTGAATAGATACAGCTAAATAAAACATTATAGTTGACAGTTGTAAACTACAGTAACATATTTTAACACCTCTTCCTCATCAGCATTCCTTTTTTGAACATAAAAAAGAGGCACAAGTCCAAACAGCTCCTCTTGCCAGAGATCACAGCTGAAAGTAAGAGTGAGTCCTACTTAAAACAATTCTTCAACAAGTGTGAATTAAATGAGGATTTTCTACTTGTATTTGAAGCTGTGCAGCCAATACTTTCATGTGGCAAAAGAGACAAACATTACACCCATGCACATAAACCTACTGCAAGGGATCCATTTCAATACAGGAGATGCACCTTGCAAATATCTTTTGTTAATATATCCCTCTTAAAGTCCCTATTAGCATTGTATCAAAAAACCTGTCAGGTTCATCAAGTCTCTTTGGTATTTGTTGGATATGTGCCAATCTTTTACACAGACTGACTACATTTGACCACTTCAATCTGATAAAGATGCAGAAAGGTCCCTTTTACATCCTGCCTCTGAATCCATGAAGGAGGACCTAGACTTGCATTTTTAAGCTCACTTAAAGATCTCTCCCTTGCAAAACAGTCTTCGCTATATAAGTGTAAATCAACTGTTAAGATCTGAAAGACAGAAGCATCTGGGCTCTACTTCGGCAGCAGAAGGCTGGGAGGAAACTTAATGGTCCCCTCTTCCCCATGCAGATTTTGTGTGCAGAGCTATAGCTACATTTCTGCTGCTATAAAGAACTGTATCCATCACCCTCTTCAGGAAAGCTCGTGAAGTCCACATAAAATGAGCAGAGAGTGTAAAAAGTAGATCTTTCCTCCCCAACATGCTAAACTTACCTCCCTGTCTCAAAAATATCTGGTCCTACCAGAAGCTGGTTTCAGGCCAGACTCTGCATACAGTGCATGTGAGCCCGCCAGACCACGTCTACTGATGCAAGAGAAATAACTTTAGTGCTAGACAGCCCTCAAACATTTCCCTGGTCATTTCAACAATGCACAAAGAACAAAGCAGTAGCTGGCAAGAACCAATACGCTTAGAAGGACACTGTGCATCTAGTTTTAGCCACATCAGTGGCTACCAATCCTCCTGATTTAAGGTTCATCTAGAGACATGAAAATTTTCACTTAAAATATATTGCAATTCCACTTCCAGGAGAAATTCTGTACCTGGAAAGGTGCCAAGGAGAGATACGAGACAGTTTTATGGTAGTGATACTAGATGGTGATTTGTTGATTTTGGCCATCAACAAACTTCTTTTCTTTCTACCCTCCTGATCCACCCAGAAGATTTCTGTTGTGTTGGTTTGGTTTGGTTTTTTAATATTCTCAAACATATAACAGGTACTAAGACAACAATCTTATATAAATGTATGCTTCGGGTATTAAACCAATCATGTCATAATTCACAGTTGGCCCGGGTGTACACTATTTTGGAATTTTTAATTCCCTTTTTCTCTAAAATGTCAGACACAGTCCATGGCAGATGATTAAACACTCATTACAGGCAAAAGAAGAAAAAAAAATAAATCAGGAAGACCACAAATTGAGCTATAATCATTCAGATGATTTGCCTCAGTGAGGGAGGACTTACACGTCAATTACTCTAGCTGCAGTTTTCTTTACAAACATTTCTCCTGCAAAATACATTTGTAAGTAATTTTTTCTCATACCCACAAACCTGAGGCTTAAATGTGTGACTCTGCTTCAGCTTAAACAAACTGGTAGTAAACTGAATCAACTGCTCCAATTTGTAATTAGATGTACCTAGTAGCATGACCCTGTAGAATTTAAACACTTTGTGCTTCCAACTCCCTTCTATCAAGAGGGATAATATTGCCTACATACCTCACAGGGCATTGTCAAAATTAATTCATTGCTTAAAAAGCACTCTGAGATCCTTAGAGGGATGATACAAATAAACATTAGTGCTGACACATGATACAGCTAGGCTCTTCATTTTCTATTTGAAACATTTATTAGTCACTATTATTGCATAACTTTTTTTAGTGTTTGCTCCTTTTGTGCTTCAACAGATATCAGACTATCTGCAGTCAGCTTAAATGAAACAGTAAAACATGAAAACATTTAGATGTCCTTATAATACTCCAAGTTCAGATTTGCATGTGTTTGCAAACTGCTCATTGCACTTACCATTAATATTAGGGGAGAGTTCTCTATAAAATCAATGGCAAGATCCTTTCAAAAGGTAAATGCATAGCTATGTATTGAAATGCAAGGTCAGACCACATTCAAAAGTAGCAGTAGTAACAACTAGACCAATTATTCAGGTTTACATCAAGTCAGGGACAAGACAGAAAGTCATTGCCAGTATTCTCAACAGGGCTAGTACAGAAGAGCATGTACATCTCCACTTGAGTTTAAAGTAGTACACGCCAGCTCCACTAAACAATGAATGTATTTAATAATAAGCAGGGACAATTTCAGACAACGCTGTATGCCGCTGGGCTCAAGGGAATCCTCTCTCTGGTCAGCATTGCCAGGGAGGACTGGCTGGCCTGAGCACTTTCAAGTGAGAAGTAACCAGCCCACCTCTGAAGGAAACTTATCTCACACTACTTGACAGAAACTTTCTTCTTCCCATACCTGAGCCTAGCAAAAAGCTTCAGCCCTTCATCTCCCACCTTATCCTGGAATATATGTGTGGAAAACACTGCTAAGATTTAAAACAGCAACAAGGTCCAAGACAGTCCTCTTAGCAACAAAGGCTAGTAATAGACAGAAGAAAAAGGCAAAGCCACAAGCAAGGGGCTGAGCACTTCCCCACGGGTCGGTACCCAAATGCAGCAGCAAGTCACACAGCATTCAAGCACATGCGACTGGGCAGCAAATCAAACAAGCACGATAAGGTTTTGAGAGCATTAAATACAGAATACATTCTGAACTCCACTCCATTTCCTTTTATTTTGGTATCAAACTAAACTATCTTCGAGTTTAATGGACTAGATATCTTCTCATAATAATATAGTAAGACTACATTAAAGAAGAAGAGAAGATACACTGACAATATTTGGAACACCTGGGTCAAAACCCAACATTTTATCATTATTGGCAAGATTCAAATGAAATCGTTATGCACTGCCCAACTGGAACTACAATTTCCTTTCCTGAAGAGTCACAGGGAAACAATGGTGCCTCATAGCTTTATACAAGGACCTTATTAAATTTGCCAGTATGTATATCTTTTTTAACACTGTAACATTTGATTCTTGAGTGTCATTTGGCAGCCCTTAGGGAGGTAACCTTCCTAACTGTACTTAACCCTGCGCTTACCCCCAGCACCCCGCAGCTGAGAGAGCACATGCAGCGCACACTAGGACCTGCCTGGCCCGCGTCGTGCCCGCGCTGAGGAAAGGACTTTCCAGGGCCAAGGCCACAGAAGCAGAGTAATGAAGCTAAACAGCCTCAAAACATCTCAGAAGGAAGTGGCTTGGGCATCATACAAAGCTGCTCTGTGTACGCCTGCAATTACCTGCAGTTAAAACTTTTTAGTTTTCAGACATGCACTAGCGGGATATACAGCTCAAGTACCAGGCATAAGACTAAATATATCCTATTTAACACACATGGCACAACGAAGAAGAGAGAAAAACCCAGGAGAGTGGAAAAGAGCTGGAGAAAGACAAGGACTCTAGCAGTACTACTGCAGGATTATACAGTAGAGGGCAGAGAACACAATGCGGTAATGCAACATTTTACAGTGTCCATGTTATTAATACAAA